AATATCTGTTCTTAGAGGCGTTTTCCCCTCTCAAGTTGCGGCGACAATTTGCTGTTGGTTCCTATTGGAATATTTCAAATAAACTTTATATTATATGATAATGGAACACGGTTTTTGAGGAACAGAATAGATACAGCTGACGGATTAGTGGAACAACTTCTGGAACTAAGTCGCAAATGCAAGGTCAACGTTAGAAAACTGTCTTTCAGTCCAGTCTTATAACCTTTTGCGAGGTGTTTCGCAGTTGACGTTGATCTGGTCCCCTACAAAGCAAAGAAAAGGCCCTTCTGTTTAAGCTGACAAGGGACCGACTTAACCCGTACGTAAGCGATGAACGTATGGCTTGATTTATGTCCTTCCTAAAGTTGCAACGACATTTCAACAATGGCTGAGGAATAGAAAAATTAGTACGCTGCAGGGATTGAGGTAAGGCCAAATGACACTGTAGGAAAACAACAATACGTTAGAATAACGCAATGAAAACAAGTCATACACTTCTTTTACATAGGCAACTTACCTAATCGGTAATATACACATTAGCTGTACGACCGTGATGTAAATATTTGCTCGCTTATTCAGCGCACCTTGGCAACTGGTTGACGTTGCAATTTCTACTGACGTTTGAAATAACATCGCTGTTTAATTAAATTTAACTTAGTTAAATAGTTATAATAACAGTTTCAACAATAACAATATATTTTACCAACAAATTCATGTGTGCCTTACTGTTTCAGACTGAGAATTCAATAACTTTATAATCGTTAATTAATACGGTGCGGCACGTTACTGAGAGACCTTTCTAACGAGAGGTCGTTTCACGTTAAACTACAACGGCTGCTTCTATTGCAGAGCAAGCGTTAAGCTCTAGTCACGTGCAGCCTAAGTCATGCTAAAAAAAAAAGCCATAAAATACCTCCCGACATATAGGATCAAAAAGTTATTCGTTAATATTTCATATTTTTGTATGATCTGCAATAACAAATGCTGCTGTAATTTTACGTCGGAAATTTTGAATGATGTCAACGTTGTCTATAGCCGTCGTGTGTTGTAGTGACGTAATAATTTCAGGAATAAAAGCTTATTCATCTGACGTCACGACTCTCGTAGTAGGAGTTTGGTTACTGTTAGTCCGTGATCGGAACGGGAATCAAGTGCACTTAGTGCGCCTGATCATGTTTACGTATGTGCATCTTTTCTTATCTTTATGTACGATTTTCTTTGATACCAGGAATTTTATATACAGTTCAGCAGCACAGCCAGTATCTGGCGTTTGCGTGCGTACACGTAACGTCAAAGTTCATAAATAAACAAATGATCGTTTTATGTCGTGAAATAGCTTTTTTAACTGCTTTGGGCGATTCTGGTAGTTAGCCAGGTTGACAAATATGGCTAACAAACAGACATATTTGGTCTCGAAGGTACTCAACAGGTAGTAATTATGGTGAATCGCAATGGTGATGGCGATTGTTTTACAGTGGTAACCCGTTTGGATCAAAAATAATGATCTGTGATGTTAAGGGCTAATATTTGCTGGGCCTAGCTTTGGGATTAGAATTAACCGTAATTATTTCCTGTTGGCTAGTTTCGTTGCGATACGTATTCCACCGTCAAGCCGATTTAATGTCTTTTCTTCCAACATGCACTATTTGGTTATCCTTCCACTTTTACTTTGAGCTTCGTGTCACTCTAGTAACTTTATCAAGATTGCACGTTCCACTTAGAGGATTAACTTTCAAACTACTGTATATAGGAGAATGAATCGGTGAATGTAACGTCACCTGATTAAGCTTCTATACGTATACCATATTCATCGACAGATATTTATCTTCGGTGTACAGACTGAATCATATACTTTCATCATTACCTTATGATAATCCTATACCTCATGACTACAAAAAGAATTGTTGAGGTGTTTGTTTCTTTAATCAGTTCAGGGTAATGTGGACTCTTGTGCGACTTTGATGATCCAATAGAGATGGTATCTGCTGACCCGTCTTCTACCTATGAGCGATCTCCAGTCAATAGCAATCTAATATTTGGCGTTTTTTATTAACCGGTAGGCTTACCGGATGGCCATTGGTCCGTATTAATGAAGACTCCAAATGGCTTTCAGCAGTTCCTACCTCATAGCTAAGCTAATCCATTACGCAAATTATGTCGTTGCAATCAGCTCAAATAGAACGCCCCAAAAAAGAAGACCTGTTCGTTGTGCGGAACTACCAAACTTTACTCATACTAACCTAAGTAAAGACATAAGCACAATACACATAATGATCGTATGATCAATCACAACCTCAAGCCCCACAGATATTAGAATTAAACATACCGGCGCATTGAACAGATAGACTTTAAAGTCATGTAATGACTTTAATAATTATCATTGTTTACTCAGAATGAATTTAAGAGGAAGAGGATCTTACATTCGAATCAGACTTAATTTAATACATTGTAAAGTATAGAAGGCATTAGTTGGCAGTCAGCTGAACAACGAGCGGCAGAGGCTTGTATGATTTTTCCCAAACGTGGACGATTACGAAGCACGATGAAGCATCGGACTGAGGCACACGAAATTCTGTCCAGGCGAATAGATGCCAAGAGGCCCTGATAGGATGCTTTTGATGCTGTCAAGGACAATGATTCAAAAACAAAGCCAAACGGTGACCTCTGTGGTGCTCGCTTTTATTGTAATTGTTGTGGTTACTGCGTTCAACAAAGGAAAGCATAGAACAAATTCGTAAATAAAGTAAAGCTTGACATGACAATTTCATTGTTGGATGTTTAAGGCAGTTGTACGCGACCCTCGTTGAAAGCAAGCATCTCTTGGCCATAAGAGCAGAAAAATGAAAGTTCCTTGACGCTTTGATTTTTCGTGATTAGAGGTAGCGTTTGCTTGTCAAATCGCATCGCCAGGGCAAGAAGTGCTCATAGGATTCAACGAGGAATAGTTATTTTCAGTTTGCGATCATCGGAACATTTCAGGTGCTTGGTTTGTGGATTTATCATTACAACTCTTATTTGCTCAGTTCAAAAAGCTCGAGTCATTAACTCACTTTTGGCAGTAAGGTTCTATTTATTTCGCACCAAAGACATCCAGACATCTGCAACGCATCAAAATTGCAAAAATAATTGAAATTTCGGGTTCTAGGAACCAATTGTGGCTCTTCGAAAATGATGGAGTCGTTGTCCTAACGCTTCGGTACCGGCTAACCTGTATAAGAATACTTTGTGCCCCCTTAACCGCGAAAATTTTCCTATTTACGTGATGATCAGTGATGAACAATTGTATCCAACAGAGCTGATACAATGATTAAATAATATTTTGTCTCGCTCTTGAGAAAAACCTTGTTTCGGTGTTTTGGCAATTATCCTGGGAAACTCACGTTGTTATGGTGCTCGGACTTCTCAACCTGTTGTCGATTTCCAGGTCAAAGGCAAGCAATAAAAGCTATGCAAATCGATCAAGAGGTTGATGCAACATATACGTCTCCTAGTGGGTCCTCATGGATTCGCATAACCCTCTTAATGACAAAGGATCTAATTGAAACATACCTGAAACTTGTAATATCTGAAAGAAGACCTATATAGGTTATCTTTTCCTTTTTATTTGTAGATAGCTTCGTTTCGTGTTTCGTGTATTTAGCTCAAGATCTATTTAGAGTGATGAAGCTAACCTTTCCCAAATGACACAGAAACAGATACCATGCGTATGTTTTCTCTCGATTTGATACTGAACGATTTCTGCCTTGCTCATTGGATCGCAAACTTTTTGTACAAAGTCGCTACGGTACGTAGGCCAAAAAGTCAGTGGAAGTTCTGTGGAATTTTTTATTTAGTCGAGGCTGGAGGTTATTTTAGAAGCTGACTGCTGCTTAGCCGCTTGGGAGGAATTATAGGAGTAATACTTTGTATTCGTTTTTCTTTTTTTTGGTAGGCCTCACTGACTAAAATAATCCAGTCTTTAAACACGCGAAAAAAATCACAGAGGAAATGCGGCTGATATGCATTATGCTTCAGGGCCGCTAGAAGAACAGATGTCCTTGCAGTCGCAAGCCGTCAGCACGTGATGCGTAACTTAGCAGTGAATCGCTTTCATCATCCTACCTCGTTGGTTATCATCACAGGATCCCTAGCCAGTTTTCAAAGCAGGATGATAGACCTATTTGCCACCTAAGGATAACAACTGGCAATATCTGTATTAAAATATACTAGAATAAGGGCTTGCATGTTAAGCAGCATTCTGAATCTAGCTCTTGTAACGTATGTACGAAATTAATGTACGTTATAGAGAAACAAAAATCATCCGATTCATCTACCTGAAGAAAACATGGTGGATACCTCCTTAACGAAAACGTCTATGAACCACGAACCTGAATGTGTTTAAACAAAAAGGATTATTTTAGATATATATATATATATATATATATATATATATATATATATATAAAACATATGTGAATAGGCTAACCGTCAAATTGGTCACCTGATGATATCAGAAGGACGCGGGCAAATATGGGAAATCAAAACAATATAACGAAGCATACGAACAATAAGAACGGTATGGCGCTCTTCTAGAGCGTGCTTATATGTATACTCTAGTTACGTTCTGCTCGTAAAAGCACGTTCTTGACTTTCGACGTTACTGAAAACAAGTTAAGTGATATCGTACGAAGTCGTTTTATTAATGTATAAAATAAGCCCCTGATATAACAATCAGGTGTCAAAGGGTTCTCTCTGAGATCATTCGACTTGACGCTAAATACAAATGTAATATTAGCGTGAAAAGTGATTTGGAAGAAAAGTTCTAAGGTGTGCAAGTACCGATCCGAAATTGTGCAGGATGCGGTAACAATTTCGAATTAGCCTTAGGTGTCACTGAAGGATTATGAGCCCACTTTAGGGATAATTCATGTTTCTATACGAGTAATGCCAAGTTCGCAACTACACTAAACGAAGTAACGGGGTATTAGTGATGATAATTTGTTCTTCATTTTCTATTACAGGTGGTTGGTTCAGCTCGAGAGTACCATTTTATGCACCGGTCCATACCTCATGCCCGTGCTCGACGAAGTGTTGGCCATATGAGGTCTCTCAAAACACATCCCGACGTAAGTGAATTCTCCGCGCATACAACAAATGGCAATCGATTTCGTGCTTCACAGCTGTCGGTTGGGGGTATCCTTACATAGAATGAATGCATATTACCTTTGTTATGATATACTGGTGCATGCTATTTATTTATTATCAAACCTCGTTACGGCATAGGCCACAGTGCCGACGTCACTGCTGTCACCCGTTTAAATGATCAAATCTTTGACAGCGGCTATCAGAAGGAGCTGATGTGATCGCTTCTGCTTTCAATCGCACGACGGATCAGTTGTATATCATTTCTGACACCGCAAAGCCACTTGTTTGGGATAGGATCTGGTCTGAACTTTTCTAGTTTCTCGAAATTGATTCATTCGTATGCTAGGTTATATCGAGTGCGTTACCAAAACAGGCGTAGGCAATTCTAGCACTGTGTACAAGCGCTAACTTCCCAAGAGAACTTCTTTCACGGCACGCTTTAAGGCACCCAGGGGCTCGGCCAAGGTTGGACGTGCTTCGGTAAATTCGAAAGGCGGCTTTCATCTGCACTAAACGAACGGACGACAAGAAAAGGATAACTTTCAACGATCCATCTAATGGGTACTGCAAAACAGACAGCCGCTCGTAACCGTCCCGAACCCTACGAAGTTTACACTCTTCGTCTATACAATAATGGATGTTCGTTATTTTCGATTAGGAAATACAGAATCTGTTATTCGGACTCAAAAAGGAAATCATTCAACATTTATAGGGAATGCGCGTCGAAGCTTGTTGGAACTGCAATTCAAACAATCAACGTTACGGTTGATACGCTTGCGTATCAAGATAAATAATATATCAGAGGCGAAATAGGAATATATATGCCTAGTCAACTTCATTATATCATAACCTCCAATGTCGTTGGATACATTATGTAGATGTATGTAGTTTTTGCACCCATGGGTTAGATGAAGTTACACGAGCTACCGGACGATACCATTTCGATGTCGTTCCTGGTTCAATAGCTATGAATCGAACTTTTCCGGCAAAAAGGTTGTTCCATTGTGACTGAAGATACCACAGCGACTCTTCATTATCGGACGTTGTACGAATTATTCGACTTTGTTATTTGTCCCTAGAAAAAGACATCGATCAAAACATAGTTTCAAAATAGTAAAGCATGGATTTATATATATATATATGAGATTTTTTTTTTATATATATGATAGAAAGTTTGCACATGGATGCTTTCATGCACGTCAAGTTGCATCTATGGAATGAAATATTACGATGTGGCGCTAAATTTCATCGTTTTTTTTTTAGAATATTCGAGCGACAACTTTAAAAATAACCGTGTAGAAGGTAATATTTAACCTGAATAAAAAGGCGCGATTATGTGAGCGACACGAATCAATGAAGCCTTTAATACCGTATTCTATGGCTGTTTAAATTTAGCTTTAATTTAGGTGTTCCACCTTTGCTTCGTCAAATGGTGCCTATCGCTATGGAACAGCACCAGCTAGCTTCACCCCTTAACAAGCGATACGAATGGACTTTTTGTTTGACATCACATTCGGCTTTTAATTATTGCTCCGCTAGCTTACGAGAAAAATTAACGCTGCGTTATAGACAAATAAAGGCTGCCATTTCAGATAAACGTGCTCTCAGCCTAGAAGATTTTGTATGGTAGGCAGTCCTGAAAATGAAACAGCTTCCTACAGATCGCGTCTAAGTACAAGGCCCGATTACCTCTGAGGAACGCAAATAAACATTTTTACGTCTTTCAAACACGTCTTAAGCCGGATGATACCTTCTCTGTTGATGAATAGTAGTTTGCTCAGCTGCTGTTTATGAGAAAATGATCGATTCATGAGTTGCTCCCATCGTTAGTCACAGGGTCATAAGTTCCCTGTTTCAGATTAGAAAAGTTTCCCGATTTGTGAAACTTATCACATACACGTTTAGGCTTTAGCCTTACATTGGTAGGCTATTTTAAAACAAAGCAAATTGCACCTCGACTTGCAAACGTCTCCCACTGCCAAATATACCATTAAAATTTCGATCCACTAAACGAATAGCGGGTTTCATTAAATGGACATTTTGAATAGGGAAAAAAACATATGTAAATACCATCGAGTACAAACAAGTCAAGACAGGCGTAATACAACAATGTCCATAACGGTGTCGCACAGGTGCCAATCTAATGCGCCAAACCTATTGAAACAACTGAAATTTATAGCACATTCCCTTACTTTTTAGGGTAAGGATTATACGAAACGGACATTATTTTTTTCTACTCTACTATTAGGAAAAATATAGAAAAAAAAAAAACATTTTTGTGCTCCAGTTTTGCAAACAACTACGTTAGATATGTACTTTTTATATATAGTGGAAAACTTTGTGCCTGCTGGTCCAACCCAAATCAAACCCTCAAGGTGGTCGTATTAAACTGATCTTTCGCAGATCGTTTATAGATAGGGGGCCATCCGTGACAGAAGGATAAACCCGATATTTTTTCATGAAGGCAGTTCGTAAAGCGTAATGTTAATTTGGCCAATTTTCGTCCTTTTTTTTTGGTGTCTCTTGCAAGATTCTCTTGTACATGTTTATGGGAATATTGTACAGGTTGAGGTAGACTATTTTTTGCTAGCTCTTTATGGGAATTTTATCCTATTGACAAAATATAGCTGAATGTTTGCACGGAGGTCTATGTAAAAAAAGGAGTCATTGTTGTTGCAAAGTGACAGTCCTCGCTGAACTAAAATACAATTGGTGGATTTGACTTCGGTGGAATTAAACTTCAGTTTTCAGTTTAATTGCCACCGTAACGCAAAAATTTGTTCTATGTGAGGGTTTTTTCTCTTGATGCCAATAAGTGATTTCCATGAGTTGAGCAAAAAAGCAATAAACGTCCCTATACCTAAAATGGATATTCTGGTCAAAAATGGGAACGGTCATAAGCCCAGTGGAGGGGTTCGCTTCGGGCACATTGGGATGAAACTAGTTTCCCAGTGCTTTTTAGGAACAAGTATAAATCAAATAGGTTTTTCCATAGCTTGCAATAATACTTCGGCGTGATGACACTGGAATTAACTTTTTTTTTTACATGGAAGTCTATGTACAGAAGTTATTTCCTGGTATCAACGGGAAGTTTTTTATGAACTGAATCGAAATCCGATGTACATCCATGTACCTAGAGCTCAGTTTTCGATTTCGGAAAATATCATATGAGACATAAAAACATAACATATTCTACGTAAGAGAAGGTTTTCCTCAGCGCCAAGCGATAGGTCTCGACAAACTGGATCAAAAACGTAGTACGTATATCTAAAAACTGCTATTTTTAGTGACAACTCCATTGGCCGCAATGCTTTACCTGCGTAACAATGGGAAGTGAAAACCTCGAGCATTTTTTAAGCCAATTTTTAAATAAATATCAGATGTGAGACGAATTTAAAGTCAATTTTCGTGAAAAATTTTTCCGCATTACTTTTTAGAGAAGAATTCCAAAATGTCAAATAAATAAATGTAACTATTTATGAGAAAAGCTATGATAAATTATTTTAGCTCCGGTGACGTCTTAGGAACGGAGTCAATATATCATTTTAAATCATCGCAAAATGTTTATAACATTTTTATTTAATTTATTATGTGCGCAACTTCTCATTGCAAAAAAAGCACATTAGACATTTTCAAGTTTTTATGACGGCCTAAAAACGTAATCAATAAATTGGCTGACTTAGCATTTGGCCGACTTAATTCGCGTGCGTGCCTCAAAGGTCAGCCGACGGCCAACTTTATTTACGTACGTACCGACAAAACCCGTAATCACGTCGTGGGACTGTACCGAAGGCCAGCATAACATGGGGAAGACAAATTTAGAGTCGGCTAAGCCTACTGGAGAACATATTAGAACAGGCTGTAAAAATAATTACAGAGGAGTAACGGCTTAGGTGGAGTAGCGTAATTGCAACGGGATAATTGTTAATGTATACCCGATATATAGTTTTCGTTAGCCTATACGAACGGATCAGATTAATTAAAACGGTCAACACAAAACACAAGCGGACCGAAGCCCTCGGGCTCCTTCAGTACATACATGTATATGTATATATATATATATATATAGGGGTAGTGTAAGAGATGATGCTGTCATTTCATTGGGAGTACGCTGTCGTAAGATACCCTAATTCTTGTTGTAACTGCGCACATCGTAGCGATGCTAGTTAGATAAGCCGGCATCAAATGTATGCGATATCAAGGTGACTCTTCGGGTCGCGTTACGATTCGTTGTCGAGCTTGTTGTCCTTTCGGCCTATCTAGCTTACAAAATATAGGCGTGTGCGGCGATAGATGGCCAGCTGCCGATACGGATTTAAAGGTTAGGAATACTCCCATTGTGACTAGGGCATTTCCTAAGTTCTGACATCTAAATTTAATTTTGCTTCGAAACTAAAATGAGAGATTGGGACAATTTTCAGCTAAAGAATATTCTAGACTATTATAATCACTCTACAACAAATCTTTATGTTGCAGAGACCGAAACCGTACCTAGCCTTTTGAATCGTGAATTTGTGTTAAATTCTGTTGTTTGTTTCATTCGTATCTACAGTGAACGCCACAATAATCACTGTGGAAGCTCAGGTCAAAAAGTGGAGCTGGGATTTTACCAGTTCGATGCGTCCCTTCGTTTTATCGCTGGCTCTGTTTGACGAAATGAATAGGTGTCGTCCCTGTTCAGGACATTGTATCGCAGCTGACGACTGATTTAGACCTGTATACAGCTTAAAGGTGAAGCAGGTTACGAACTATATATAATAGTATTTACCCGAGCTAATAGAAATGAAATTCCTCCGAGAGGCTTACTGACTTCCCCAAGGTTAGACAGGTCTGGCTTGATAACCCCCAGAATAACGGCAAAGCGAGAGGGGATAGTCGACTTTCAGAGCAGTCGCTAACGTTTAAATAGCAACATTTTAAAAAACAATATTAATTGCCGTTTTCAAAGCCTCTTGTTCCAACACGGTTGCTAGTTATCAGCCAATAGATTCAGGAATGGTATAGCTTTCGCCATTGATCACTAGACTGTATTTTGACTTGGCAAAACCAAGTACGAGTTCATTATTATTATTATTTTCATTGATTTCCAGAATTTCGGTTTTCGGAACCCGTATATATAATATGCAAAGCCAATTTACAACGAGAATGTACAAAAGAAGTTAACCCTTGTACCTAACGAAGCCTTGAAAAACCTGTAAGTAACTATCTATTCTACTGCTACTTCAACCATCGATGTACATGTTCACAGACGCAGTTCCTTCTAAAGGATTCTCTCGACCACCAAATAGTTTCTGCAGACAAATACTTAGGCGCTAATTTTTTTTTCTTATTTTTATAATATTAAGTCACATTCTGACATTGGTATCAGTATAGCAACGTCATTAAATTGCCCTCGCGTGCGAATCGACCCCATCACGTGCGCGTACGTTTCTCCTCTATGCTAAAGGCTGTACATATCACTTTGTTCTGCGACATATTAGTGTTACCATAGTTTCTGACTGGTATCGACCCAACTGCCTGCTAGATATCACGGAAGAGGTCTTCGGATGGGAACTAATGAGTACTGATCGGCATATGGGACCGTTGTATTAATTTGCTAGAGCCCTCTCGTCATTATCATTATTGGAAGCTAGCCCATTTGACAGAATGCAATTATTATTCACTAGATCTACCTAGATCTAGATAAAAATAGTCATCAGGATAAACACCAGTCCATTCGTGTAAGATTTCCTGCATTTCTTACCGATCGCTACTGAACAATTTGAAGGATGACTGCTAAGTGAGAGCTTAAACCCACGTGTATTAGCCTGTGAGTGACACGTACGTTATGTAGACCTTCAATAGAGCTACGATGATGGGTGACGACAACTGTGCGACTCATTTACTCGACAAACAAGCAAAATGTATATATATACATATAGTTTTTTTTTACGGAGAAGTTTTCATTGGGGAGCAATGTTTTGCTCTAGGGTTCCAAAGTTTTATGTTTGGCGAATTGCATCAACCGCTCGTTCTCAAACCTCAATGTAGGCATTCTGGCAGGTCGCTGATCCCCAGCACGAAACGTACTCTCTGTGTACGAATCGAGGCCATTATGTGTCCCTAAGATTAGCACGCAAATAAGTTACCCACTAAGCTATCGCGACGACTTAATCTAAGACCTAGGCTACTTCAAATGTTCCCTAGATTTGTAAGCAAGCACATTGTCGTTGCCTAATATTTCCAGCTGAATATATATAAGGAAAAAACAGCATTTCAAGAAGAACACGGTGTACGATTTTACTGCCGCCTTGAATACTTACTTGTATCAGTAATCTGTGAAATACTGAATTGGTCTGTAAAATAATATATGCCATTATTTTATATAAATAATTGTTCTGTATCTCCTTTGATCCGGTACTGCACGAAAGGTTCTACACATTCCAAATAACATAAGGTAGCAAGTCCGAGTTAAGACTGAGGCGAACTTGAAGAATAAATTAAAAAAGAAGCCCTCAATAATACGTCCCATTGCAAAGATCGCTCATTACGCCCCTATCGAGGCAAGCTTAGAGATAGCTGTAGCTTGAATAATCGGAAAGTGCGTTCATCAGCACACGTACTATATTAAATAGATGTAGATCTAGCTATGGGAACAGCCTTTGTTGGAAATTTTTTGTGAAGAAACGACCTAGATTATCTATTGTATACCCATTAATGTTCTTTATACGCATACAACTGCTGGGACCCTCTGCCATCGAGATAAGGTCCCAGCCCAACTAGGTATGCTAGTGATGATTCTATTCGGAACTTCTAATTTTATGACGTGTGCGTATCATGTGGCTCTGTCTACTTAATACGAATAGAAAGCTTGCTGTCCGAAAAAGGTAATGGTGTTCAAGCATTATAAGGTAATTCGACCGCTTTCAGACAAGCAGTATGTTAGATCTCAATAAAGTACGATGTGGAAGAATGGCAAATAAAAGTTGTTTCCACGCTGCGACTTGGTCTGTTTTTTCAGGTGCAACACGCCATCCAGCAAGCGGGGTTCCATCGAACAAAACGAGGTTATAATAGACTGCGGCTAGCCGTCCTTGAACAAATTCAACAACAATACCAGAACGAACCCACTGACCCATATTTTCCCTTTCAGTGGTACCTAGTAAGTACATAGTTTTCAATTTTTACCACCAAATTATGTTTTCTTGGCTATATATGTGCAGATTCATGATTGTTGTAGATAAATCTTGCTAGTGCTATGGATTCTTCAGGAATTTTTTTACGTTGAACGTTCATGGAAGTTGCAAAGTTGACCGATGCCGGCTAAGTTAGTTGATCGGCCAAGCATATACATATATATCTGGTGTGACTTTATTGCCGTATGCGATACATTTTATCGAAACAATTTTAATATGGTGTCGACTCGAATGTCTGTAGAAGACAGAGTTCAATGCTATTGACGTATTGCTAAAGTGCGTCGAGATTGTGAGGTTGAAGTATGAAACTCCCTTCGTAAAGTGAGCGGATATTTCGCTATGGAGGCGCCCATCTTTTATTCGCTACTTCAGTAGACAAAACAAAATGGTTAGAGATCAACTCGAGGCTGGACGGCAAAGCCCATACATTTACTATTCCATTACTCCATTTAGCAATTATTTGTAATTGTATAAATTTGTATAACATAACAGTATTTTATAAATTATACCAGACATCAGACAAACAGTGTGGCTGCGTGAAATGTAGTTGGACGATGATGGGGCAAGCATTCACTGAGCGGGCAAATATACTACCAAGGAAGAAATGTTCCAGTTTTATCGAAATACGCGCAACATCATGTGGCTTTGCTCGTTTAAGCACAATGAGCTTTTCGAATCTGATATGCTTTTATTTCATATGATAACATCAAACAGGTGTTATTTTGTACATTTTTCTAGAATTCACTGTTCTGCGAAAATGGGTCTGACCCATATTGTCACATTTGTTCTAATAGCTGCTCAGAAAGAAATTGGTGTTTATCGCGCAAAAAAGGAAGAAAATGGTCTGAGATAGGCCGATCAAAAACAGAATTGAATAAATCCTACCTAGTTATATGGTTATATTTATTTGGATCATGTCGTCCTTTACGATATAATCCAATTATTTTTTATAGTACTCCTGTTCAAGGTTTAATGAATTGTGATTCTAGATTAATAGTTACGACAAGATTGCCAAGCACCCCCCTCTTGTATAGCCGTTTCAACAAAGAATCATCAATTCATTGGCTATCATCCATAACGACAAACAGTGATTTAATTGAAAATATCGTGTTCCACAATCGGCACGTATGCCAAAACTAGCTACGACCCCCGACAAGTTATCATGTCGTTGTCATCACCCGTCATTGTAGTGCTTGTAGGCAAAACCTGTCACATAATTCTGCTTTCACGGAACGTAAAAGGCCAGCCTCCTCGGACAAAGCGCATGTTCCTTCATTATTATGGTTTAATTTTCCTAGTGGTATCGTCTTCCGTACGATGTATGAAAGCAGTTCCAGTAATATTTGCAAACATGGTCTGCTATGAATGCTTTCCTGGCTAGACCGCTTACTTCCACAAAATATTTACCCGGTAAGCTGATCTTGATAAGCTTACGCAAACCAGATGCTAAAATAATTGAGCGGTTTCCCCCAGCCCTAATCGTTTAGCCTAGGATAGGCGGTTCGATAGAGACTACAATAGACATGGCCAAATTAAGACGCCTATCCGTAAACTTAACGAAAAGCCCAAGGCACAAGAGCAGGTGATGTACACACTGTAGGGCTATTTGACTAATGTAGTACAGCGATAAATATAAACTAATAACAAGATGTCTAAATAATGACGTTGCTAATAGGACCGAAAAAAAAAAAAGGAAATACTACCGTCGAGATCTGGCAAGATCGTTATCCCTTGCGAACAGCCATGTGCAGCACCCGCCTAATAAGACCAACTCCCCCCCCCCCCCCCAACCGATGGCCTTCCGGCCCCCCGTCACCCATAAACAAACGTTTATAAAGGTAGCTAGTATAAAAAAGGCTTGGTGGAAGGATAAGCTATAAGTGCGACGTATCTATCTTAAATGCTCCCTTAAAAGACAAGAGCATCGGAGAT